TGCACACACCCTCTGCCAAGGCACGGAGTTCATTGTTTGAGTCGCATTGTTCAGCACATTTGCTGCTGGCACTACTGAGGTCCAACATATGGCAGCACTCTGAGCCTTCAAGCCCATCGTCGGGGCTCCGAACAGAACCTGCCAGCTCCACAGTGGCCTACTATAAGGGAAAATTGTCAGCAGGAACATTTAGGGTCCCAAACCACAAGCACTGATAAATGTCTGCATTTCTTTATGTAATTACCTTTAATCCGGTGTCCCTTTTCCAAGAGGCCAGGAAGGAAACGGCAACAAAGCTTAACTGGTACAAAAAAAAATGAAATAGTCTCATTGCTGACTAAATAGAGTTGTTCTACTGTACGTGATTTTAAGCGAAGAAGAAGAAGAAGAAGGTGGGACTAAGTGGACCTCAATTCAGCCAATGTGTTTTTCATTTTAAAAAATGTATAATGTACTGTAAGGGAAATTTGCATTGACAAACACGTCTACAGCCACTGAGGAGAGTATTGTTAGTTGTCTAAGCTCACTGTGATTTGCATTGTCTCTGTTTTCATGACTGTGGTCGTGACATATTGACCTAATCGGAACAAAATAAACTGTGCTGAAAAAAATACGAGATTTCTTTGTAAAACTTCAACGGGTAATTTTGTCATTATCCTCATATGAATTCACTAAGCGCATTTGTAAGTAGAATAAGTGCATAATAAGAAATTAGTTCTCTGTATCATGCTGTTTGCTATCTTTTTCTAATAAGAATTACCAAAGATATCAAACAGCTCTAATATAGAGCACATGTGAGTTTTGCCAGTAAAAGTTGTTGCAGTCGGTTTTATCAAAAGAAGCCGGTCATGAGCCATTGACTGTGCAAGCCTGATTCAAGACGGCAAATTGGAGAAATGATAATAGACCAAATGTGTTATTTATTTCCTATGTGAAATCGCATCATGATGAAACAACATTTCAACAAATAAATTTTTTAAAAACAACTTACGAAAGTTGCAGGGAAATTAGAGTAAAAAATTGATGTCGTGAGCCTTCAGTCACATAAATTTTAAATCGCTAAAGTAAGCTATCTAAAGAAAAACTTTTCCTGTTTAAGGCTTTTTATAGAAAAATACTGTTTGCTGCTGTTGTTGCAGCGCTGCTACTGTTGTCGATAATCCCTTCCTCTTCCATCCATCATCTGCAAAATAAACACAGGCCACCCCCACCTGTGTCTGACTTAGAGGGGCGAGGACCCGTTAACCTGCTCATACAGGCCACCGGCTCGGCTGCTGATTCCCCGCCTCTGTTTAGATTATTTCCACGGAGGCGGGTGACTCTCCTGTGTCACTGATAAGAGCGCAGTAGGGTGGTGGCAAGAGGGTCAAACCACAAGGGGAATAAAAACTCAGGAAAATACTGGAAAAATATCTTTATCCCCTGGAAAAAAGTACTTTCCCCCCAAACTTCTTCACCATGGCACAAGGCTATTACACTGATAGAAATTCTTCTCCCTCCTCGACAGTCTGGCCCTGAGCACGCGAGGGGCTAGAGTCTTAGCCACATCTCAAGCTAATTTACAAAGATCCCGAATTATTCTCTTATCTTGGGCTTTAAAGGTTGTAAGGTTGATTAACAAGGTCCTGTCCTGTTTATCAGTTTGGGGCTGGGTGTGGAAAATAGCCTGCGATAAGTGCACAGACCATTAAACATTCTATTTCCCCTAATATTTGTCGGCAACCATCTGCTTAACTGATCTCCCTTCACTTTAATTAAAAGGGATTCCCGTCTTGTTGGGGTCATTATGTGCTGGCGGACGCCAGGAGAGGGCTTTGTGATGAGTTCAGCGTTCCCTCTGTCCCTGGGTTGCCAGAGGGCTTTTTTCATCCTCCATTCCACCCTCTTCTGAGTTAACCCCTTCCTGTCCCACTGCTCTTCCACCTTGTTATTTAGCAGGTGAAGCAGACTAAAGCGTTAGTAAGTCCAACAATTTTAAAAGAGATCCAGTGAGTGCTGGTGCAAACTTTTCTCTTCACTAGGGAAGTGTGTAGATATTCACACTATCTCGCTCAACTCTGGGGCATGAGAATCTGGCTGTAATGGTTTGATTTGCCCAACACTAGTTGGATCGATACGGCTGTTTACAGTTTCTCCCTCTCTCATCCCTTTTGTCTTTTTTCTAATTTAGTGTTCCCAAACCATGGACAGGGGTCTGAGTCTGTCTGCTGTGCTTGCATCTTCGCCCTCCTCCCCACTCTCCATCACTGTCCATTGATGTTTTTCCCCTCTCTTTCTCTACTCCTCGTCCTCTCTCCTTCCTTGGTTGGTCTTGGAAAAAGAGCTGCATGCCTCCACACTTCTGGACAAGACTGATGGCTCGTCAATAGCATTAGCCAGCATTGCAGGCCTCACTGGTGTAGAACCAAATCAATAAGGCCCAGTAAAAAGTCTTATACGTGTATGCAGTCCATTTCAGCCAATGCTCATGTTACCACAGATGAGTTTTTTCTAAGAATTCAGGAGTCACCATCTATTTTATTTCCCTTAATTCCACATTTCCTCTGCGTTCACTATGAAATGTCTACTCAGAGTCATCCTGTCTCTTGTAGTATAATTATGTATCATACGCTTCAAAAAGTTGAAAGAAGTGTTTTTGTTCAGTATTAGGTTAAATTGTGGACATTTGAATTTTGTAGCACTGCAGTGACATAAAACATCTTTTCTCCTCTTACCTTTAAATTCTGTTAATTTACTTTCTAATTATAGTGTGCAATTACAATCAATTAGTCCTCAATGAAAATTGATTTCTGCTTTCAGGGCATTGGCTGGATGGTGTGTGAGTATGTGTGAGTGTGTGCATAAGTACCTACATTTTTAGAAGATTAAATTGACATGCTATAAACAGCAAAAATCTGAGTATATGTAGTTTACGTACAGAGTTGTATTGAAGCTATATATACTTTAGCTTAAAAAAAACAAAACAACTGTAGCTGTTTCTAAGGGAAGTTATGGGGGTTTTTTTTAAAGCTATGTTGAAGGTGTTTACAGTCTTAAATGGTGTATTTAATCAGGTCACCACACAACAAAAAAACTTTTACAATTTTTTTTAAACATTTTTTATCAGCCCCTTATTGCACAGAGTTTGCCTGTTCTGTGTTACAGTGGGTTTCCTCTGACAACTCCGACTTCCTCCCACAGTCCAGAGACATGCAAGCGTGTTAAACCGGAGACTGGAAGTGGTGCATGCAGACATTTGCGGACAAAACTGTTGACTTTCACTTGGATTTTTAAAAAAAGCTTTTTAACATGTAGTCATGCTTGAATTGTTTTGGTTTTCTCTGATGCTTGTGGCTGGAAAAGAGAGCTGTGTCCTGTTTTCTTGTCCTTCATGTTTGCCCGTGGATGAAAACCTTGATGCGAGGAAGTGATTTGTCTTTTTTTTCCTTTTCTGTGTACTGGACTGCACTGGATTGTAATGCTTGAATAACCAGTCTGATATATTATTGTAAGTCAACCATACTTGAAACTGTTGAAATGTTGGCCTGGTTGCTTTAGAAACATGTTTCTTAGAATACAGTATTTAAACTCAGTTTTAAAAAGAGAACCAAGAAAATCATTGCCAGGGGCACAATCTTCAGCGGACTGATGGCAAATTAATTATAAAACCCGGAAATATCGAAGGTCAGACTGACAAATGGACTGATGGACATCTTTGCCATGTCAATCGCATCACCCTTTCCAGTTGAGACACAACAAAGCTCGCCCTGGCTGTCTCTCCATGTGTTTGTCTGTATGTTTTCCCCACAGCAAAGAGCTCTGCCTTTCAAAGGTCAGCAGAGGTCCAGTAAGTTTGTCAGGCCAATCAATGCCCTGCCGCTGTCAGAAGTACGCTCAGTTATGTAGCGAGGAGGTCAACCCAGTGGCGAACAGCACCCATCCCTCCCTGCTGGGAGATTGTCGCCAAGGAAGCTAGATGTGTGTGTGTGTGTGTGTGTGTGTGTGTGTGTGTGTGTGTTGTGGCTATCTGTTAAAAATGGGGGAGTATCTTTTACCCACTCTGCATATAATCAATATCGTACAGAGCTATTATTCAGAAAATTTGTGTGTCCGTGCGTGTGTTGTGCAGTTATTAACGGTGACGGGATCAAAGAACTGGTGTGTGACAAAGAGGATTGGTGTCTAATTCAAGGTCAATAAGGCCTGTGTCACTCCTTCACTTTCACAGAGAGGCATTATGTTCCCGTTGGTTACCAGAGCAAACATGACATCCCTGCAGGAGCTCACATCAATTTGTAATTTAAGCCCCAGTCACAGCAAAAGATGTCAGCATAGGCTGCTTTTGCAAAATGACACTGCATTTGTCCAATGCCGTCATCACTGTCTGTCTTCAGTGTCATGTCGTTGCTCTGTTATTAAACTGTTCTATCTTTGACTGGGGCTTACATTTGTACATGTAATATCCGTTTGTATGTTATGTTGAATCAACAAGAAAAGCTTTCATACATGGATTCTGTTGTGTTTATGTTGCTGATTCTACGAAAACTTTAAGCTTGTTGAAGCACATTCAGTGTATGTTTTTTGCCAGTGTGTCGTTCCTTTCACCAGTCCCTTTTTAATTTAATTTCAGCCTATGATCAGACAAAGATACTGTATGTCCTTTATTTCCCTCCTTCAGTGACCATCTTACTAATTTGCTAACACCAGCAGCACCTTCTCCTCATGCCAGTGCATCTTTTAATAACTCTATTAATCTAATCGTCCACTAATTGGTCAAGATAGCCTTTTCCCCAATGATTTTTATCATAGGGTAATTAAAGAGCCCAGGAAAACCTGCTGAAATCACAGTGTCTTGTTAAAATGTCTTGATTGACACATTGTGTCTGTGCTGTTATTTTGGTACATGACAGAAAATACTTCTTTCAAGCCACTTAAATATATTAATATTTTTCAAATTACGCTCTTCAGTGTTTATTTATAAGTCAAGGTCCTTCACTTTTGAATGAAATGCAATGAAAAAATGCCAGTGACTGATAAATCTTTAATATAAAAATTGTACAAGAATTCTGATACAAATTACAAGAGGTATTTGGACAAAATATGAATAAAATTCCATTTACATCCCAAAACCCTTATGCATTTTATGCAAAAACCATAGACAGTTATGATACAGAAACAAATACAAGAAAGGCTAAAAAGAAAGAAAAAAAGAGTCTCTTAAAAAGGATCATTTTTTTTCCTTCTGTCTGCAAATGGGGAACACCTCTTTAGGTAACATACAGTATTCATGAGGCTTCCAAATCACCATTTTGACACCAAAGTGACGCAAGCTCCTTTGCTCTTTTTGTTCTTTGCAGTGCGACTATGTAGCCATGCAACGCTGTCGAGTGCCAGTGCTGTAACACCGGCTTTTTAAGACACAGACACAAATGCATTGGATACACAAAAAACACAAGTGAAAATAAAAATCTAAATTCACCAGCTCTTCAAGCTATTTATACTTTAAGACTGTAAAATATATTTGAAAATACAATGGAAAACATTTTATGAATTTACAGCATTTTTTTTCAGGATCATTGACATTTCACAGGTTCCAGTTCAAATTAATGAGGGCATTCTTTTTAGAACATAAGACTTGTGACTGAAGCATCTATACAAACCCACGTGTGTGTATTTTTCTTCTATCTGCATATTTCTAACGACGTCTCATCAAACATTTTTACCTCACTTTGTTCCATGAGCTACATTAACTGGACAGTTTGCATGCAGTGTCTGTCACCTCTCATCCTCTCTGCTTACACCTATTGTACTCACTCACTCTGTGACATGAACAAAATGGACAGCGATTAACAGGTCAGGCGTTTCAGCCGTTTGCCACCCCTTTCTCCCTCGGTGTGCTATGTAGCATTGCAGAATAATTGATGGTTGACGCTGGTCTAATCAAATATTTAAGATTCACTCCAGTGTTCTGGGCCAGTGAGGTGCTCTAAGCGACGTGCTTCTGCCGTCCGAAAGCCTGGCCAACTAGGTAGCACAATGCACCTGGACCCATGTGGCTGGAGAATTAAGAAGTACAAAGATTGGACTTCGGGCTTTCTCAGAAGAGAGGGAAATCGGTGGTCATTTCTCAGAGGAGAAAGGAGTCCAGAGGAGAGAGGTGGAAATGTGAGGGGTGGCTCGATCGCTCTCCAACAGGCAATCAAGAAAAAGCTGGGGATAAGTCCTGGGGAGTCCTAGTCCTGCTGCTTTCTCACTCTCTCCTCAACCTCAGTTCTTCTCTTTTTCCCCTGCATTGTTAAGTGACTGCTGCAAGGCTGTGGCCAGACCGCTTTCTAAACCCAATCCTTTTACCCCATTCCTCCCTTCTCCCGTCTCTCTCGGCTGTCTCCCTAGTTATGGACAGTCATTTGCATGTTTTTTGTCGGCTGTGTTTCCAGCCTCTTGCAGCTCTGTGCTCTGCTGGCATGTGCAGAACCTCCAGGACTCTGAGAGAGCCTGGAGGAGGTAGTAGAAAGGCGTTTTGAGGGTACCTCTTCTGTGATATTCAGCTTTCTGTCTGGAACACACTAGTACATGAGACAGGTCGTGCTCTGCAGCTGCTACTTGAGAAATGGACAGTAAAGAACAGAACATAAGGAATGTGTTGGTTGGAAAAAGAAAAAAAAAACAAGTCTGAAAACTTTGCATTGCAACTGAGGTTATTGGCCAGAGCACACTTATATTACGATAACTTTTGATATTTTTGGTATATGCAGCTCCCTTCATTCTCAAGAGTTCAAATCAATCTGTGAGCTTGTTGACCTTTTTAATAGATTTTTTCCATTTAAACGCTGGCCTCTTAAGCTAGAAAGTCTCAACTCATTAGCTGTTAAACATGTTGGAATTTTAAAATAAAGTAGTAATTGTAGGAGCATCACATTTTCTTTGTCTTATTTAATTCTAGCTCACACCATTCTTCATAACGGAATGTTAGCTTTCTGTGTAGTGGCTGCAGCTGTAATGTTCATGCTAAAAAGAGAGTTTCATTTTCTGTGCTGAGAATATTTTTTCTCTGCCCCTGTCTCCATCACTAGAGGTTAACAAGTCATCTAGGTCTTGTCATCCCTCTGAGTGTGTGCCACTCTTCTCTGTGTGCATGTGCGTTTGCATGGTTGTGTGTTAGAGAGACAGCTGTCAGCAGGGTTCCTGGAGTAGCACTTTTTTATTTCTGCCAGAGCGAGGGCCGGGGGGATTGAATGAGTGAATGAGGCAGCAAGCGCCTCAGTGAAACCCACTCCTGGGAGAAGGCAGGGGTTCCTGTACTCAATTTTCCCTTCACTTGGGATAAACAGGCAATTACCCATCCCTTTTTCCTATGCCATGGCCGTCCAGTGAACTTAAGCATACACTATTAGTGCGTGTCCCTGTAGGATCTGCGCTGTGGCGTGTGGAGGTGGTAAGTGAGTGGCGGGTTGAAGAAATGGGTAAGGCGGTTGTTAAATGACTGCGCTCTGACAGACAAAGAGAAAAACAGAGTAAGAGAAAAGGAGTTGAATTGAATTACCAGCGACCCTGAATAAGAATAAGCGCACATGAAAAGATGAATTGAATTCAACTTAATTGAATGAGTCAAATTAAATTGTTCCGAGCACATACTCTCTTTCCTTCTTTTTCTCCTTCTGTCAGTGTCACAGTCTTGTCAGCAGCCTTGGCGTCTGGCAGTGTAACGAAGTGACAAGTGAGTTATTAGACAGAAGAAGCTGGAATGGCGGGACGCCTCCAGGTAACAGAGAAGCAGCACATTTTTAATGATCGTTGCTGTCATCCTTTCCTCCCTAGTCAGCCTTCCACCTCCGCAACCTTTCCATCAGCCTCAGCTCTCCGTCTCGCCCTCTTTATCTCTGAGAAGAGAGAACTAAAAACTGCATGTGTCATATAGGTGGAGTCTTAAAAAAGACATGAAATATTTCAATAGAATAGGTCATGTCTATATTGCAAAATGGCTTAAGTGTGAAATAAGTGGAACCTAACACTGTTATGGATGTAAGGTGTTGTGAATACTGTACAGCACACCACATAACACTGCATATTTTCCCACTGTGTGTAGCACCAGTCAAGTAAGAGAAGATCTCCTTGTATAGTAACACATGGCATTGCTAATACATTGAATAACAAGTCAAACTGAGGAACAATCTCTATTTTTTTGTCTTTTTACAAAAAATATTCTTAAACTGGACAAAAACAGAAATCTCCATGAAGATACATCACCCACTAATAAATACCCCTTCCCTCGGCTACTTTGCCCAATTACTGGAAATATTTGTACCGTAAGACAGTTATGGACATGGTAAAAATCGCTGCAACCGACAGCCAGAAAAATGGCAACATTTTTATAGAGTATATTTGAAGCCGACACTCAGCAATGGAAACCAATAGCAAAATATCACAGCAAAAGTTTTAAGACTCAAGTGCATCATATTAATCAAACGGGGCATGATTTAGGTACAATGTCACACTGAAAGAGCTTTTTCTTTAGCAAACACTTATATTTTGGTCACAGTTGAAGGACTAGTTTCATCTTTTTTCTCTTTTCGCTCCTTTTTGTAATCTGTGGGACAATCATATTTCAGTAAGACGCCTTTTTTTTCCTTTTTTTGACAACAAACACCAGTTCTTGCATTGATAACTCTGTTGGACAAAATAATTGCATGCTTTAGACAGATTAACTGACTAAACCCCGGAAGTAGTTATTGTGATCATCAACAAACATACACAAATTACTCCTTAAGCAAAAAGCGGAGGAGGTGGGGGGAGGGGGGGACTTCATCAATATTAACTCTTCTGTGTTTGTGAAACAGCAGTTTGTAGTTCGTCAGACCTGGATTTGAAGCAAGACACTTTGGAGACACTTTCTGAATACTTTGTTTAGCAATGGGGGGGAAGATCTCTAGGTTTTGTTCTGGGAGGCAAGATGTTTCCTGTTGTAAAAAACTGTGTTTGAAACTGAGCACGTGCAAAAAGAAACTGGCACAAGTATGTTGAAGGTACTGTCACTTCCCTTGGCGCTGTAGCCATCAATGACCCCAAACAACACCTAAACTCACCATTGCAAAAAATCCTCATTATAATAATATTACACATCCCCTTGTATAGATGCAAAGTGCAAAAACTGAATTGGTATACTAAAGCTCATAAACATAACAGACAAAAAAAATCAATAGAAATACAGAGAATGATATCGGTGTAGGAGCCTAAAAAAGCATGCCGGCAACCTCTGAATATCTAACAAGTAGATAAAACAAGTCACATGATATTCTTTTTTTTCCCTAGGACTCAGTTTAAAACGTGTCTTTGAAGCTAACATAAATGAGTCAAGCTAGTAAGATGCTACCTCTTTCTTGCCTATAGCTGGAAGTATTGTACTGGACTGTAACATAAAACCATAAAGAGAGAAAAAAGAAGCAAACAACCATCAACACAACTCTTTTACACCAAAAGCCTCTTGGGACATTATTTACAAATGAAGCTGTCATGCTTTTGTAAGGGGTTCATTTAAAAGCTATCATTACACAAATACAACGAGAAGATTTTCTTTTTTTTCTTTTTCTTTTTTTTTTTTTTCTCAATACTATCGTTTCTGCAGGCAAAGTCACAAATAAGAGTTTGAATGAATTCTTTGGAGATGGGCATAAACACAAAGTGGGGAGAAGTTAGAAAGGAAAAGATGGAGGAGCTTATGAAAAAAAAAAAAAACAACAACTGGAGTTTTGTTATAAAGCAAACTCCATGCTGAAGAGTGTCATCCTGTTCTTCCAAAGGAGGAAAAGTCAAAGGACACAATAATAAACTGTATTTAGAGTCAATTAATTTTATAGATGGAGATTGAAATGTCTTGCAATGACTTACAGAGGACGGGCAGGAGACATACAGGCATTTAGCTTGTATTTGATGGCCTTGGGCTGGGGTTAAAAGCTAATTTGAGGAGGAATAAGAATGAGGAATGAAGGGAGGAGCGGCAGACTGACAGGAGGGTAGAGTAGTAAGTCATTCTTTAGTCTATTATTGTAGAGAAGGGCATGTTTTTATGGAGGTTGGGGTTCTGAGAGTGTCGATTACGGCTGCGCACAGAGCTGAACACCATGTTGCAACCGGGGATTTTGCACTTGTGCAGCTCGCGCAGGTGCACAGTCTTGTAGTGCACACGCAGGGTCCCTTTGTTGCTGTACATTTTGTGGCAGATGTTACAGAGGATGCCACTGCTGCTGCCATTGCTGCCCCCAGTGGACGAAAGGAGGAACGGTGAGGAGGAAGGGTCCGACCCCTCACCTCGTCCTACTTTTAGTTCTCCAGTCTCTTCCCGATGTCCCCCTTCAGCCCGCCCCTCGGCACGCTGGGAGTAGTCCTCTCCCTCACTGTTGCCCTCCTCCTCCTCCTCTTCTCCCTCCTCCTCCAGGTCATCCAATAGGATGCCTTCATCGCTGCCCTCATCTGACTCATGTGAGGAGTGGACACTGCTGCTGGATTGAACACTGGATGTGGTGCTCAGGTCCAACACCATGTAGTCATCTGGCTGGCCCCGGGAGAAGCCGTTGGTGTGGTAGTTTTTAAGGTCTTGGTTGAGAGGATGGTGGGGATACTCGTTGCTCATGGGGGAATGGGCATTGTGGTTCAGGCCAGCGGGTCCGAGGGTGGTGCCTCCGATGCCCATCCCGGCCATAGGGTCCAAGCCCATGTGGTGCCCCGCGTAGATCTTGGCCAGTATCTCGGCTCGCAGGTCCTTGGGCAGTGGCGTGAGTTGGGGGTCCAGGACAATGTCGTCCAGCTCTTTGGTCAGCAGTTTGCGGTGCAGGTTGATGTTGGAGCTGTGCCTAATGTGGGGAGACAGGTGTAAATTAGAATGCTGCCAATGGCCACATTATAGAAGCACATGTGTTTGTACTTAGAATCATTCATTTTTCATACTGACAAGTTATCTTACTTCTGGAAAATGGTACCAGGCTTTAAAGACTCAATATCTAAGAACCACTGCATGTGTAATTATTGCTACAATCAGTCCAGGTACAAAAACACTCACATGGAGAAAAATCCACCCTATTGCTCTCCTCAGAAAAAGTGCACTAACATAGCAAAGGGAGAGAGAGAGAGAGAGCATCCTGCTAGTGTTTACCACTGTCAGCATGTCTGCACTGCACAGCCCTCAAATCCAATAGACTCTGACTCAATTAAATACTCCACCATATTGAATGGGAGTTTATCAATTGATTCGAGCTGTGGTAATGTGATAATCGAGGGGAACTGGATAGCATATTAGCACTAGGCCCTGACAGCATTATCGCATTCATTCCCTATTGGAGGTGGCTTAATCGAGCACCTCAATGAACATGTCTTTATGTAGCCCTGGATTTAATTAAGATGGGCATTTTTCCCAAACACAAGGCAAACTGTATCACACAATGTGCTACAGTTGATCAAAGAAACTAAGTAACAAGTGCCATGCTTAAGCCAGGATACAATTAGTGAGGATTTCAGTTAGCACACAAAGCCATGCTAAAGGATGCAAAGTGAAATGGGCTTGAAAATCAAATTCAATGCCTTTTTCGCTCCAATTTCACAGTTGCCAAGTAAGACTAGGAAAAGGGGGGACCCACGGTACACTTGTCACAATAACACTGCATAACACAGAAAGGAAACTTAAGCAACCAATGACCAGTGTCAGATATGACATACACAAGGCCTGCTCCTCTCATATCAGGTCAGCACTTAAATCAAATGAGAAAAATATGCAAACACTCAGTGCCTTTAATGTGAAGGGTTTCCATGCAGGGAGGGCACATGTGTGTAAAACAAAACAAAAATTTAAAAAAGAAAAGGAAAAAAAGGTCATCCTTAGCAGGACGGGCAAAAATGGAGTCACAATGGATAGTAGAGCTTACCAGCAGTGGCAGGGTTGATGCAGTCAAAAAGGGTCCCTTTCCTTTAATTATTTACTTCCCTATCCGACATTGTCCTGCAAGAGGTAAAAATACATTCATTTGAGGGACCCTTTTCTGTGAACCAAGCAACCAGGAGCCCGTCCACTCGAGCATCGTCAGCATTGTGGAGAGAGAGCGTGGCAAATCGATTGGCCGTGGCTGTCACTGCATGTGTGTGTTTGCACGTGCTTATGTCTGTTTGTGTGTGCGAAAAACAGAAAATATACTACTTCCATATAGCGAGACTTCGATCAAAAAGACTATATAAATCCTTTGTTCTTTTTTATCCTTTGATAGTACAATGGCACCCATATGGCTTTAACTTATGGATAAAATATGGGAGTCATGATTCAATGTCTGCAGCGCAGTATCCCTCTCTGTCAAATACACGTGTACATGCTTGGCCGGGAGAGACCAGAGTGTTGCTATGCAGTCAGAAATATGCCGTAATCAGTAATCAATATTTAGGAAAGTGGGTGCATTTTCTGCAGGATCGCCAACCACCCGGCTTGAGATGTGTAGAGGGGCCACAGATTTGCTCAGTTAAGCCTGAAGTTCAGGATGCTGTTGATGATGCTCAGGTAGGCAGGTCCTTTGCAACATGTCTCCATCTCTATAACAACACCTTCTCACTGCTAATAAGCTCTAAATTAACCATGACTATCTATTAGAGTCAAACATGTTAAATATCATGCAGTAAGTAGTCTGCAGAATAGCTATAATAGCCATTTTAGACACTTAAAATGCACACCACATTGTTAGAAAGTCACAGTATTTAAAGGAAAAATATTCACAATTACCACTAGAATTATTTTTATCCACAGAAATATGCAAATAAAATAAAGTGAAGAAAAATGCAATTTCATCATCATTTGTAACCATTAGGAAATAATTTATTTACAGGAGCTGAAGGGAAGAAAGAGAGCCCAGTTTATAGTCTTTCTCACAAACATTGTATTTAACCCCAGTGTTAACAGTGCCCTGTTGCCCTAAATAATCAGAATAAGTCAGCTGAATTCACACACAGTGGACGTAATGCCCTCCTCCCTTCATTTATCAGATTTAGACTTTCTGCCCCATTTCCCACTCCCCTCCATGCCTCCACCTCCATCACTCCTCTTCAGTCTGCTCTATCTTTCCTCCCCCAAACCCAACTCCTTAGTTCCCCCTTCCTCCATTTCTGCCTCCCTGTTGGCCAGTAATGTGGCTGGCAAACCAATTTGACAGTCTCATCTTCGCCCAAAAGATGGGGGAGGCCTCCTGAGAGCCCATTTTTGACTGTGCAGAGGAGGGAGAGCGAGAGTGTGCCTGTCCCAATCGGCGTTAATCATCTTTAGGTTCGTCTGATGGCCTTTGCCCTTGCTTTTGTGTCAGCGCGCATGTGTGTATATTCATGTGTGTATGTTGTCTAAATGACTCATAATGTGTAAATGAGATGGAGGGCTGAGTGGTATTAAACTGACACCAGTGGTTCTTTGTCTTTCCTGTCATTCGGGGTGTGTTATGAGGTTTTGGGTGTAAGTGGGAGGACAAGAGTTTGAGTAACATTTATCACTCTCTGTCACTGTATTATCTCTGTTGCATTGTTTCAGCCTCTTGAACAGCGCAACCTACAAACTGATGATTTCAACAAAAGCAAATAAATGAATAGAAATTAAATATGCATTTAATATCACATTCTGTGTCCAAGTTCTGATTTAAATTACTTGCAGTATTACAACTATAATTCTGTTGATGACAATGGGCTTCCATGAGTGTCTGTTCATCTAAGAATAAAATAATTTCCTTTATTCTCTTCAAAATGAATCACAATAAAGTGTCAGTGATAAACTGAGGGGCTGTAATACTTGAAGTTTTTGTCTTTTATCCATCAGATATTTAAAACTGGGGTTGAGTGGCTTTTGCTAACATATTCTCTCTATGAGCAGCATGCCCTTTGTTTATAAGAGACAAACTGCGAGCTGATTGTGGAGCAGTGGAGCTGGGCCCACATGCTGTGAGGGGACTAAGGGAAAAGGAGGGAGACAGCGAGAGGAAGGAGAGAGGAGGAAAGAGACTCTCCAACATAATTAACCTTCACTCTCTCCGTTTGCAGTAGCCCATGCAGGGACCACGGGCTGCACACAGCTGCACCATGGGAATGTAGAAGAGGGAGGACACCTGCTTGCTGCAGCGACATAGAAGGAGCTGGTTAAAATGTTGGGGTGAAGGTTACAAACAAAAGTAGGATAGGCTGATAAAAATAAGACGAGCAAGACTTGTCACCAGTTTAAAAACAATGATTAACAAGGCTAATAACGCCGATGATTACTGGTACACGCTTTTCCAGCCGTTAATCATGCAGCTTCTTCAACACTTGTGCCGACGCTGCTCACTCCCCACAATAAATATGCAATCATTTACCTCTGTACAGCAGGCAGCCAGGAGGCTGGGAGAAAACACCCCACTGTAAAACCACGCACACACGCTTATCTCGCTCTGTTTTACACTCAAAAGCAGACACATTACATGCTCGCTCAAGGGCACATTAAATTATCCTTTTCTGTATGACTGCGTGAGTATGTACAGCATCCATGTGCACAGATGTTTTGATGTGCATTTTTTGGAGATCTGCTGTTTGTTCTACAGTGCAGGGACCGGACTGAACACTAGCGATACTTTCTCCTCGGTAATACATTTACAGTGTGTCCTACTCCAACGGTGTCATCGGCTCTTGGTTGTTTTCCTCTGTAGATCAAATGACCTCTCCTCCGTTTTCTTCTTTACTTTGATACACAAGCTTTTGATGCCGGTCTCTGATGGTGTGTTTTTGTGCCTTTGGCGTTTCAGTCGGTCAGTGGACTAATCAGATATGCAGAGGACTTTCTTGTTGCTTGATGTCAACAGCTGTTTGGGAAATCAGGAAGCTATAAAGGGCTGCATATTATAATACTGCTTTACCATATATTAATCAGCTGTAAAAACAACAATAAATAATGATTAACTTTACTCTTATTAAATCAACTCTGTGGTTATTAATTTCATGGTTCTTTTTTGTTTTTAAGAGCTTATTTCATTGTGTTAAGTAATATGAAGTACTGTTTTTTCAGTCTTTTATATCTGAGGTGATCCACTCGAAAGAGCTGTTTATTAATTGTAGCTGCAAACGCTGTCTGCAAAAAAATCTAATTTGGAGAAATAATGCAGTTAGACTTATCAAATCTACTGCTAATAAACACTCAAAACATTATTTGTGCAGATGCAGATAAATTTGTACGTGTAGTTTCTTAATCTTATCGGGGCAAATGCTCTGATGAAAACAACTAAATTATATTCTCGTTTTATTGCTACCATTACACTCGAACATACATTATGCCATTAGAGGATTACCTAGGGACAGATTTGATGAGAGCACGGCTTGTGTATTGACTCGTCTCAAAGCCCCAGGATTTCTCGAGCTATGCAGTACTCTTCTTTCTGTTGTTTTGTTCCCTGTTTGAACCTGTGGCACAGTAATGTGTCCCATATGCTATCAGGAAAAGTATGGAAACAATAGTGTGCTTAGGTCTTACCCACCCAAAGCTATACTGTGAATTGCTGGCTTAAAGAAGCATTATTTTCATAGAAGCTTGTCCCTTCATGCTACAAAGTTATCTCTGTCGGCCATATGCTCTGCCACATTATGTCTTTGAATGGCATTTATATGCTGGTGTTTCTCATCACTGGAGTCAAACTGTCACACACATGCACGCATCCAAGCTGACACGGGAAGAGAGCAGCGCACGGAAAAGTTCATGTTGAGGTGTTATCTTTTCTCTCTGCGATATGGTCTAATCTTTGAACTTTCTGTGTCTGTCTGCAGCACCCCACCTGGCTGTATTTTGTGAAAGTCACCTTCCCAACGTTGCCTTTCTCCCCCCCTGAACATTTGGTTCAGAAAAGTTTTGTGTGAGCCATTATGGAGTTCAGATAGCAGATTTCAGAACAAAGGGATTAAATTACAAAACTGACACACACACAAAAAAAATCAGGACAGCTGTAAAAATTTAACTTGGATTCATGGAATCCATCGTATCACCCATAAAAATCGGAGCAATATTTGCAGATTACCAGTCACCCTTAACTCTTTGTGAGCTAGTTTCAGGAATTTTTAATTTTTTTTTTAACTTAATCTTTGCACTCTTATTTACCATTAGAGTCTTTTCTCATGTTACATTCCCCAATAAATGTACGATGAAGTTCTGATAGTTCAGTTAATAATTTTTTGCAGGTAGCTGTTTAACAGCACTAATAGGATATACAAAGAGATAATATGTAGACAAGAACAAATACTTTTATTTGTTATCTGTTGGGTGCATAACTGTGTACATGTGTGAAAATCGTGTACAAGTGTGTGCATGCACATGTTGCACAGCACACAGGTCCTGTCTTAGGCATTTACTATTCCTAAAGCCTTGTCAGAAGAAGCGAGCGAACACACTCACTGGTGGCTGTACAGCACACTGAGGCATCGCATGTTATAACAACACTCTCTGTCATCTTGCTGCTGTCGGCACAGCTGTGTCAGCTGAGCAGCAGGGTTGCACCTTCACGGACGCTAACTTGTCTCGTGCTCTGCTCCCCCTGCTCTTCTCTCACGTTTATTCTAATAGAGTCCCAGAATTACCTGCTCTATTTACATGCTGCTAATGAAGAAACAGTGCGAGGAACAGATGCCACCAAAACAACAAATGCAATAAAAGGCTTCAGGTAGAAAAGAAGCAGGGACTTTGGCAGAAGAAGGTAGCAGTGGTAGAAGAAGAGATGAGGTGTGTGTCTGTGTGTGTGTGTGTGTGTGTGTGTGTGTG